TGATCATCACATGCATCAAAATCAAGCATCCATGCATACATCACAAGTAGGGCTACAAATGATCGAAGCCGCTTGCGAGGGGCTTGGCGCTCGACTCGGGAAAAATTCGTTCGAAACTCGACTCGTTTACTAAGGAACCGAGTTTGAGCTAAGTCTTCTGCAACTCGTGGAATTCGCGAGCGAACTCAACTCGGTGGCTTGTTGAACTCAACTCGTGAACTGGCTCATTTAGAACTCATGAGATGTCTCAATTATCAACATTGTGGCTAGAGAGCCAACTCGATTACTGATTTATGAGCGAATCGATTTATATGAGTTTGATTTTGATAACTCATAGGATTTTTAAATTATATATATCTCACCCTATATGAAATTTGAGCAAATATGTCTTATTTAATTTTAAAAAGAAATGATGTATCATAAATTGCTTCATACTATGAAATAACATAATTTTGACTAGTTAAAATTTTGGGTTAAAGACACATTTGGTCACTGAGATTATTAAATCGGAACATGTTTAGTCACTATAAAAAATTAATATCAATTTTAGTCACTCGAATTGATGAAAAATGTCACATTTAGTCACTCTCCGTTAGTCTCCGTCCAAATCCGTTAAAGAAGTACGTTAAGTGCTGATGTGGCAAACAGAGGCGCCTAGTCAGCGTCGTTTTGTGCCGGAAATGGTCAAACCCGACCCGCCACGTCACTAAACACGCCATGTCATATGCCCAACCAACCCATGCACCCACCCGACCCATAAACCAAACCCAAACCCACTTAAAAAAATGAAAAATAGATTGGGTAAGAGACCATTTTTAGACTTGATACTTTTCTCCTTCCTCCCAAACCTCTTATTCCACCAAACCCAGCCGGAAATGGCTTCTCTTCTTCGATTCCTCTATCTTTCCATCTCCCTCCATCTCTCCCTTCTGATTTCTCCTCCAATCTCTTACAAAGCCCCAACCTTTCTGATTCCACTTCTCTTCTCCTATTCCTCCTTTTCCTTTCCATCTCCCCCCATCTCTCCCTTCTGATTTCTTCCTCCAATCCCATACAAAACCCAATCGTTCTTCCTGTCTCCAAAGATTCCGCAACTCTTCAGTCTATGCTCCAATCCATCAAGCTCGTAGTCGATCTCGGTGGTACCATCACTCGCCATCACTTCTCCGGCGGCCTCTTGTTCAAAGCCGCTCGATCCACTGCTCGGCGGCGAACTCCGATGGTCATCTTGTCCGAACCATGCCCGAAGCTTGCGTTGTTGGAGCGCTGAACGACGTCATATGGTCGAGAGCCGCAGGTTGGCTCACAGAAGGCACTGTTGCCGTCGGATCTACGAACGGTTTGGGATCAACAGCGAGGGTTGACTGGTTCCTATTCTCTTGCAGGTAGAGTTTTCTGATGAACGGCCTGACAACCGGCGCACTAGGGATGATGGGAGTCAGAAGGATGAGAACCTCCCCGACGGTGCAGATTACCCTTATGGTGACTCGCCGAGCGAGTCCATTCTTGGGCCGGAGATTTCAAGGTCTTTAGGAGAGAGGAGGGGAATTTCCTTGTATTTGGATAAGGGTTGGAGGAGGAGAGGAGGGGAATTAACTATAATCAGCAGCGTCGGAAGGAAATTACGGAGGAGGAGGAGGGTGTGGTTTGTGGGACGAAGGAGGTGAGCGGCGGTGGTGGTTTTGGGGAAAGGAGGAGGTGGGAGGAAGGAGGAAGAAGGGTTGGGTTGGGTTGGGTTGGGTCATGGGTTGGGTTGATTATAATGAAGTGGCGGGTCGGGTTTTATTTTTGTTGGGCTATATCCAGCTGATTAGGTAATTATGTTTGTCACATCAGCACTTAACGGACTTCATTAACGGAGTTGGACGGAGACTAACGGAGAGTGACTAAATGTGACCTGTTTCAGTAATTCGAGTGACTAAAATTGATATTAATTTTTTCTAGAGACTAATCATGTTCTGATTTAGTAATCTCAGTGACCAAATGTGTCTTTAACCCTTCAAATTTATTAACTAAATAATATGTAACCACAAAGTATAACATTAGATTAGTTAATATTGAACACTTAACTATTATTTATTTTATTTGACATTAACCACATGTATCATACATTACATACAAAATAAATATATCAAATAAGAGTTAAGATTTTTGTAAACAAGCTAGCTTGAACTCGACTCGGCTCGTTAATCGAGCTCAAGCTGGAGTAAAACTCGGCTCGACTCAACTCATTTGCAGCCCTAATCATAAGCATCAGTACACACAAAGATAAATGAGTTCACATCCTCATACAATCAATTCAAACTAGCTATACATAGAAGAGAAGGAGGGTATCACTATTGATTATGAAAGCATCTTCCTAACTGCATCCTCTCCTATGAATGCTAAGCTCTCACTCGAGTGGAGTGTTTATAGAAGTTTTGTGAATTTGTTCAACCTACTAAGCCAATGAGTCTAACCCTCTATTTATAGGGGTAAAACTAGACCAAAATCTCCTAAATCGACTAGAACAAGGTTTCTTTGACGTAAGGCCGAAACCATGACCTAAAGATCTGATTTTCGGCTTAGGCCTCTTGGCGGCGATCCTTTTCTTCTTGGATTGGTTTTCTTGGCCCATGGAAAACCTCTCATGAAGCTTTGCGCGCGATTTATCTAGGTTTCTATGAGCGGTAGTTGGACTCAATGTTGAATCGTTGGTGGTTCTTGCTTAAGCTTGGGTCGAGTCTTTCTCCTTTGGGATTCTTGTGGGCTATACTTATGCTTACTAGTAGGCTTTTCAGTAACTGGACCCGTCTTTATAGTTTTCCAATGCTTGATCCAAATTCTCCTAGGTCTTATCGTACCTTGAAACCATAAAAAACATACAAAGAAGACATTAAGGAGCACAAAAACACATCATAGGTATATATAAAGAATCATTGATCAAATAGTTATGATTTAGACATGAAATACAAGAGAAATGACTAAGATGCATTAATAGAAGGGGAAAATATATCAAATATGAAAGTGATAAACACTATAAATAGAGTGTCATCATCCATAGTCGTAATGTGGAGCTCTCACTGATCCTCTGTAGGAGTATATGTAATTTAAAGTAGATTTCTTTCCGAAAAACCATCAATCAAACACGCTTGTTTGAATTATGTTCAAAGAGGTGTGAATTGTGTTTAGAAATCATTTGGTTAGAAGTGAAAGGTGCAATCAATTCTATGGAAAATAAATTGGCACATTTGGTGGGATCACTTTGTTTGATTTGATAGCTCAAAGACAGAAGCAACAAGAAGGTGATCTCTCACCTAGGCTTGTGAAGAAGCAAATGGCTAAGTTTGAATTTGGTCAAAACATAGAGGGTGTTATTGGAAACAATGGCATAGACTTCGCCACCGGTGGTACCAAGTGTTGATATAACCACCAAAATCATGTTACTTCACCAGATGGTGGAGGAAAACCGCAATATGATGGCGGAGAACCATCAAACCTCAAAGGGGAACCGCATGATGCTGGTGGAGAACAAACATTTCATGAAGGAGGCATTGGTGAGAAACATCGGTTGGTAAGTTCTCAAATTGAGTCGCTCAATCCTCATCTAAATAGGCGTCTGAGGCAACTCATTGAGTTGTGTGACACAAAATAAAATTGATTTTAATGTGGTGAAACAAATTCTAATAAAATGAGTGGCACAATTAATGGCTTTGCCACTTAGGTCACAATTAAACTGTGATATTTGTAGTACAAATCTTTCTCTCACTTGTGACCGGAACGACCAACTATTGCATGACAACTTGTTGGCCCCAGTGATAAGCCAACCACCCTCTCAACCGGTGAGTGTGGTGATAATATGGCCACCCAGGCAAACACACACGATGAGGAATTGTCTATAAAAGACGGTGTTTAACCATGAACTCTAGAGATAATAACTTATGTGGAACCTATCAATGAACGAGTTAATAAGGATTCATTCAAGTGGAGCAAGTACCACAACATGTTTATCCAATCCCAATGCCACCACTAGTGAGTAGGCAAGAAGTGTAATCGAATGGATTCAAACCACCTAGAGGGCAACAGGGGGTATGGAAGTCTAATACGCCACAAGTCGAAGTCGATATGTCCATCTCAGAGGCACGTGAAGACGTCCAAGAGGCCACGTCAATCCCAAGCACACATGCTTGTGATAAACATATTAATATGGCTAATTCTGGATAAGGGACAGGCCACCAGTCATTGTTAATGGACATGGGGGCATATCTAAACAGACGTGAGAAAACCACAAAGATGTTTCATAGGGTCTGATAATTTAGCAAGTGTAGACAAAACATATCATTCACCATGAAGAATAGAGTAGGTGGCATGTCAAAGCGAGCACAACAAATTCAAGTCACACATGTTTATAATATGGCTAAATTTGGATAGGGGGGCATTGCCACCCACCACAGATGGAGGAGACATAGTGCTTCAATCCTGGTAATTGATCAGATCATGCCTTAGATCTAATGACCAAGGATTTCTTGGGTTTTGTTTGAGATTTCGTTCTTCCTTCAAATCCAAGTGGTATCCTGGTTCCTTTGTCTGGGTTCTTTGTGGTTGTGGAGGAGTTGCGCTAAACACCCATGTCAAAGAACACGACACTTTCCCATGTCCCTATCAGGATAAAAGACTACGACGGAGTCCATAATAATATGTATACAAATCTCGTAGCAGCAGCCTCCAAGGTTTGCTTGTCGAGAAACCAGAAAAACTGGCCATTCAATCAAGGGCGCGGGTCGTTAGTTAGGAACCTGTCAATAAAGAAATAGAAACATATATTCCAAGTTCCAACAGGGTTCCATTTCGTAGTTGACCCTCTTTCCTTCCCCTTTTCCCACGGGTCAATGCTATACACCGGCAAACCCACTATTCTAATCTCACCTTAACCACTGAAAAACGGGTGCAAATGTATGCACTTCCTTCCAAACTTGGAGTCAAACAAATTTATATATAATAGCTCTCTAGCCCTGAGATTAGGGGTGAACAACAAAGCATGGAAAACAGTGAGCACTTAGCAGCATACATAAGGAAAGACCAAACCTTTGATTAAACATGAGATTTAATCACGTAGTTTACTTTAATTATATGTACAGAGAAAAAAAGTCCAAAACTTTCAACGTGGGTTTTCCAGTGCTCATCTTCTTCCTTTCCTCTACCTTCATGGCTCCAACCTCAGATTGGACACATTAACAACAGTTAGGGGACAGAGAGGGAGAGAGATACAGGAAAGCAGTGAAATTTACAGGTCACACACTTCCAACTCTTCTCCCTTCACTAACCTACCTTTGCCAAATGGTTCGATTCTTTCTTCCTAAACTGTGGTTACATGAGCTAAAAGCTGAAAGGTCACTAAGTTGGGTATATGTACAATCAGTGAGTGAGTGTCTAGGGAAGTTCTTTTGATCCTAAGAATAGGACCTAACCAAACCAAAGTTGACAAAGGATCTAGACTTGAACAGACCACCAAAGAGGAACCTTGTTGGTGATTCTTGAGAGGCTTGCTTTGAATCATCAGGCCTTCCTTTGACCTTCAGTATCGTCTGACCTATCACTTGCCGAATGGCATCGATGGTCTTAGCATCCACCGGGCACCCTGAAGCTTCACGAACATAGAATGTATTCAGAGCTTTGCCTCCTCTGGTGGTTACCTCTGCTCTTGTAACCGTAAGACTGTTCTCTCGAAAGATTCGAGTAACATCTGATAGCAACCCTACTCTATCAGTTGTACATAGCTCAAGCTTCAAACCCTGCATTAAAAAACATGCCAAGCTTGTCAATTTCAAGCCAATCTCAGCCAAATTCATAAATCTTGAGGCATTACAAAAGACAACTCACCTCAGATACTCTTCTTTCAATGGCTGCCTCAAGACATTGTATAACTCTTTGTCTCTCAGCGTCAGATTTCACAGGGGACCCATCAACATGCCTTATGTAGTATTCCTGAACAAGCAAAAGCCAAGGGGAAGAGTATGGATTAAGCCAACGGCCAACAACCAACATTCATTCATTCAACATTATTGCAGACAAGAGAGATATAAAAAGAAAATTATTAGCAGCAAAACCTGGTAAGCTTCTGGACCCTCAGCATCAATGTTTGCATGAAACACAACATACTCCATGTCAGTCAAAGTGCAGACAGTATCAAACAGAAGTTTTGGCCTGTCTTTACTCCTTATGGTGACAACCGAATAGTCCTTATCATACCAATTAACCACACTCACATCAGGCCTTTGCTTCTCACCCAAGCAACCATCAACACTATCGCCACCACTCCTTTCATAATCCCTAGCGGCAAACATCATTTGGTGCAACCTTCTATCTGTATGAATGGCTTCATGAGACACAACGGTATTCGCCCCTCGAGACCTGTTGCTCCCACTCAGCACATTCCGAAGCAGCTCCTTGATCCCTGCCAGCCTCTCCGGGTCAGAAATTGCAGACCCCGTTTCCTCCTCTGTCACTTGCATCACAGCTGCTGCCCTTGTGTTGTGTGTCCAGACCTCTGCACTCACAACATTGCACTTAAGGTGAGTGAGGACAGCACAGACTTCGGATAGTAAACCAGGTCGGTCGCTTCCGGTTAGCTCAATCACTGTGTGGTCTACTGATGGTTTGAACCCAACTGATCCCATTGAAGATGTGAAGCATGATTCTGGCCCTAGAGACTGGAGATAACAATGTCAAACAATTAGATTTTGTTGCAGGCTAAAAGGTGGTTAAAGAAGGACACTCTATGAAATATCAATCAAACTTGTGAGATGTTACTCACCTTTTGAATGTAGTCAAGAATTGGTTCATCAGTAATTTTGTTTCCATCCTGATCTGTCACATTAAACACTGGACCAAAGAGAGTGCTTCCAGATCAACTTGGGCACTTCCAAATAAGGAAATTCAGATAATGGGAAGAGAAGTAGAAAGGAAGTAATTGCTTACCATCCATGAACCAACCGCCATCAGAAGAGATGTAAGCTTTGGTTATTATGAGGTCGAGATCAGTGAGTATTTGAACGACATCTAGCAGGATTCCATGCTTGTTTGCACTGTCAACCTGATGAGAAAACAAAAGGGGACTTAAATGAGAAGGAACAAAAGAAGAGTAAACCAAGCTTACAACAGAAACAAAGAACAGTAGCATACCCTTATCACAGTAGCATTCTTGCAGGATTCATTATCAATCACAACCCTGATGAGCCACCAGAAAAAGAAAAGTGAATAATGATGGAGCAAGATTGAAGGTCACTTTCAATGAAGTACAGAGCAAGCAAATTCAACCATACCTAGGTGGATTTAGTCTTCTAAAGAGCTTCTCATACTCATCATCCATGTCATTGGAAAAGCTCATGTTGAGCTCTGCAGGCAGAGTGAATTTAGAATTAGAAACAAGAGAGAATAGGAAATGAAAACCATAAACCCACATAAGAATAGATAGAAGCAAACCAATGAGAGCATAAAGTGGAAGTTTGAAAACAACCCTCCTCCCCAAAATAAAATAAAAATCATAGAAAAGGAAACAGAAAAAAATGGAATAATGGGAGATGACCAATAAGAGAATAGATTCTGAAAACCCCATAAAAGGGATCAAAAACATCTTCTCATAAATGGCTCCAGTTCAGAGCAGACGACCCTCCTTCCTTCTCCACCCCAAGCATCGAAACACGAGCAGAATCCAAAACCCACCTTTGCTAATTGTTATTATCACTCAATCCCAGAAGGGCCCAACTTCATTAACGACTATAATGAGCCAAAAATAAGAAGGGGAGGAAGAAGAAAACCCAAAAAAACAAAACCACCACAGCAAAATAGCAGCAGAAGCAAGAGAAAAGAAGAATAAAGGAAGTAACAGAAGCGAACGCGAGTCCAGAAGAAATGGCGGTGAGGGAAGGAGAAAAAAAACAGAGAAGAGCCACAAAACAGAGAGGAATGAGCACATACCCATTACAATTCCTGGTGATTAGAGCTCTTCTAACTGCGGCAAAACGAAGTCTCTCTCTCTCTCTCTCTCTCAACGAAAGTCTGAAGTGCGATTGCCGAATCGTCAGACACTACTGGAAATAAAAAGAGAAGAGACCCGCCCCAAAACCTTCCCCTGCTATATATACACGAAAAAGGGAAAAAGAACAAGAAAGGAAAAGAAAAAGAAAGAATCCCGCTCCTCCGAACAGGGAAAAACGGAGAGAGAAAGAAAAGAAAATGAGACGAGACGAGACAGAGAGAGAGATCCCAGCAAGGAAATTTCACTCTTTGAATTTCTTTTGTCGACTCATTACCACTTTCCTCAGTTAAGAAAAATCCCTTTGAGACAATTCTAAAAAGAATCTATTTTCGCGCTACAAATTGAGGAAGGAAAATGGAAATGGAAATGAAAAATCCTTTTTCTCCTTCTTCTTCTTCTTCTTCCCCAACTCCTCACCCTGCGACGCGCGCTCTCTCTCTCTCTCTCTCTACCCTGCCTCGTTCTGTTTTGCTTCCTCTGTTTTTGGGTTTTCGGTCGTTTTTAATTTTTCAGTTTCCGCTTACAGTGGGGCGTTTATTACGACCGGCGCATTTTAGTGCGGGGGTGGAATGGTCATTTGGATGGAGTTGGGGGTGGCGGGTAACGTGGGATGGCGGGGAGGGTAAAACTGTAAAAGCAAGTTGGGAGGTCGATGGAGGAGGAGAGAATTTTTACAGTTATAAGTTTCACTGCCCACGTGCCTGCCGTTGAGATGGGAAAGTGGAGAGAGAAAGGGTAGTAGTAAATCTCCAAGGAGTGAGGAATGGATCGGGTCGGGTTTCGAATATTCACTTGGAGGGAGTCGGGTCAAATTTGTTAAGTTGATTCCTAGATGGCTAGATCCATCTTAGGGCCCTATTAATTTGGGAATCTAGGATTTAATCTTCCCTTTTAAATTTTAATTAACATACTTATAGCGATTCCCTTTGGTATCGTTTGGAGGGAAGATATTCACGAGATATTTTATCACAATACCACTACATATTGTGTCAATTAAATATATGATGAAATGAGTGATGGTAGAATGGAGAAATAAGACTTTACTAATCTGAATTAAAAATAAAAATAAAAGAATTAAATTTTCAACCAAATTAGAGCGTCCAAATGTCACACTCACTCTCTTTCATTCTTTTTCCCCCTGTAAATTTTACACGGATCATATCTTATTTAGTTTCATTAGAATTTGGGTTAATTGTAAAGTTGGTCACTGGGTTTACTAAAAACGTTCATGTTTGGTCACTACAAATATTTAATTTCATTCATGGTCACTAAGATTAGTTCAATAGTTCAAATTTGGTCACTCTCCGTTAGTCCCCGTTAGTTTTTGCTGATGTGGCAGTCAACTATTATAGTTGACCGTTAAATGAGTGACGTGGCCATTAGAAAATATTAAAATAATAAAATTTAAACATTTACAATTTCCACATCATTTTACAACTATTAAAAAATTAAAATTAATTCATATTATTCTATAAACACCTAAACCTATCCTTTCTCCTCCTCCATCACCGCCATCGCCGCCATGTCACCACTACCGCCGACGTTACTCACAAGAATAAATTGAAGAACCCGCTCCCTGTGATCGTGAAGCTTGTGACCCAGCCCGATCCCTCTCCCTTCGTGCCCTCGTAGGCACACCACCACTCCTCTTCCGAATCAGTGTCCGGTTACATCCAGCGCCGTCGTGGGCGTCGTTCATGCTCAAGGGACCTAATAAACGAGGCGAGACCTTCTCCTTATTGGAAATTTAAGGGTTTCGCAAGGAGGATCGTCGGAGAGGACGCCGTCTACGCCCTCCGGCGGCAGCCCTCGGCTTCTGAGCGAGCGTCGGATGACTACTGACGAGTCGGGTTTCAATTTCTTCTCCGGACTCTGTTTGTACGACTTCGATTGTACAGCTCCGAATCTGGAATTCGTCGGATTTAAGACCGAATCGAGAAAAAACGATAGGAATCAAAACGAAAAGACGACACGAAAAAAACAAAAAACCCTACCTCTGGCGTTTGGCGGATTGGGATAGTAGAGAAGCTTTGGACTGGATTTTGAGAGCGGCCATCATCTCACCGTTCCGGCGGATGTTTTCGAGACGCTTGCGCTCATACTCCGTAATTTTAGCTTTCGATGCCATTGATTTTGAGAGGCTCAGCGGCAGAGAAACAGTACTAAGAGTGGGCGGTGAACTGAAGCGGTGTGGGAGAAATAAATGGAAGGCGGCGTGAGGAGAAGGGAAAATGCGCGAAATGGATATTGGTGGCGGACTCTGCAGAAGCTAGAGATGAGAAACGTCGGCGGTAACGGTGACGTGGCGGCGATGGCGGTGAAGGAGGAGGAGAAATGGTAGGTTTAGGTGTTTATTGAATAATAGGAATTAAGTTTTATTTTTTAATAGTTGTGAAATGATGTGGAAATTGTAAATGTTTAAATTTTATTATTTTAATATTTTCTAATGGCCACGTCACTCATTTAACGGTCAACTATAATAGTTGACTGACACATCAGCAAAAACTAACGGAGGCTAACGGAGAGTGACCAAATTTGAACTATTGAACTAATCTTAGTGACTATGAATGGAATTAAATATTTGCAGTGACCAAACATGAACGTTTTTAGTAAACCCAGTGACCAACCTTACAATTAACCCTTAGAATTTCAATCTTTTTGCAACAAAATTATAATTTAAAAAAATCTACCAAATGATACCCTCGTTAGTATGTTTTGAAGAAGGAATTACACGTAATGAATGACGTGCTTATATGCAAGTGATTTGTCGTGTTTCATAGCGGTACACCAACCAGTTGAATTTTATTAATTGAGGATCGAATTTGACTAATTGGTTTGCAAGTGTAGAAGATCTTAGTGAGTTTGGTTTAATGGGCTTGATCGTTGAAGTTCTTAGTAAGTTTGATTAAGTGGCTTGATTTGGTCATAGACTCTACTAATTATACTCACCAGTCACCACTGCTTCATTACCTTAATAGTTAATACTATAGGGAATATAGTAAAAAAATGTGCTTTAAAGTTTAAAATTTTATGTTTTTATGCTTCTAAATCACAAAAACATTTTAAGTTTTCATGTAAAATCTGCAGTTTATAAAATCAGACAAAATCGCGTTTTAGAACTTAAAAGCTTACACTTTTATATTTCTAGGTCACCAAAATATTTTTACTATGCTTCATACGCTTTTATAACCTGATAAATAAGTTCAGTCAGAAGCAATTACACCACTTTGTCGGACTAGAAATTGGATGAATTGAAAGAAAAATTAAGTAAACCCGAAATAAGTGAATCCTCTCCTCTCATCCCTAATCTTCTAAACATGACCCCATCGCTCTTTCTAATACCTCTCGCCAACCTTCCCTCAATAACTTCTCCTCTATCCAACTGTTTTTTTTTTTCCATCTTCTCCTCTCTCCATCCACGCATCGTTGCACATATTATCTTTGGCGTCTACACCTATATAGTAGAAAAATAACATCTCATTTCTCCAATTACTCCTTGATTGTGTAAGTTTTATTCTCTTAGTTCAAATGATGACTATTGGTAGCCGGTGAATTCTTGATTTGATTTTAGAAATCAAGAGTTTTCATTTATCAATAATTCATGTATAATTTTTTATGCTCCAAAGTTTCATGATTTGCACAAGAAAACTACAAAGGATACTTTAGAAACTTACTATTTCATTCTACTTTAAGAGCTTGTCAAATTAGTTTGTTTTTGTCACTAGTGACCAATGTAGTCAAATTAAAGCGTGTTTCTGCGTAGAAGCGTTTTGGTGATCTAGAAGCGTAAAACTATAAGTTCTTAAGCTTTAAAGCGTAGTTTTTAAGCTTTAAAGCGTAATTTTTAACTTCATTAGTTATAAAAAAAAAGAGATTATGTGTAGAAGCGTTTTGGTGACCTTGAAGCGTAAAACCTTAAGTTTTTAAGTTTTAAAGAGACTATGTTCTCCTTAGAAGATTTCTAGCAATGTGACACAATGTATAAAACTTACAGTTCTAGCAGATTATTCCTCCAAGTTCTCGTCTGATGACCAATGAGGTCGCTTACCGTATCCAAACCCAAATGTCCATATGCCCTTTCCAACGTTGTTCCGTACGGATGGATGGCATTGGCACCCACCTATCATCTCATATTTTGATTGAGCATCCATTTCCTACTCGTCATTTACTTCCCCTGATTCATGCGTATTTACACATGTTTTACCCCTTTATATCTTGAGTGTTTGACTTGATAATCTATGTTCCCAGTGGCGGATCCAGGGCTAGGCCAACCCAGGCCCCGGCCCAGCCCTCGTCCAAATCCAGAGTTAGTTTAGTGCTAGTTAAAATCCTGTCCAGTTTTATTTGATAATAGAATTTTGTATAACTAGAAAAATGGTTCAGATGAACATATCCAAACCATCACTCTAAATTTATACTAAATTTCTATACCCCAAATGGTTTTATTTGAAAAAAGAAATGAAAACCTAAAAGTGTAAAGTTTCATTAAAATAAAATAAAATAAAACTCTAAACTAAAGCACACCCTTCCTTGCAAAATTCAAAAAAATTCCCAATCCCCCCAAAACAAAACAAGAACGAGGAGACGGGCAGACCCAAAATGGATTTCTCCGCCAGCCCGTCGAGTTGGTTTTCTTTCCATTCTTTTGATTAATAAAATATTTACAAACTTGCTGAGTTATCATTTAAATTGCCTAAATTGAGTGGGGCACTAGATTCTAACCGTTCTTTCTGGTGTTTTGATGAAGAAAATATTTACAAACTTGCTCAAGAGTTTAGCCTTGAGATTTTGAAGGCTATGAGATGCATTCTTTGGAGAATGCACTACTCATGTGATGAGGAAGATGAAGTTTCTTCTCTTGCAAAATTATTAGAGAAGCTGGAGGAAACATGGATGGACACACAATACAAATTGATTTGTCAGTTGATTTGTCTAGTGTTGACCTAGCCGTTTCAATAACTACCATGGAGAGAATATTTTCAGCAATGGAACATGAACATTGATTTGTGCAACAAAATGAGCGATGAATTTCTCGTTGATTACTTAGCTATTTTCTTTGAAAAAGAGTATATTATTAGTATGGATGGAGATTATATTATTGATGAATTTGTTAAATTAAAAGATCTTCTTGTACAATTGGCATTGTAATGAAAACTATATTATTTTATATTTTTGTTTATGGTATCTAATATTCTATTCAAATGCGGCCCAGTGCTCTCTTGTGTCCTGGATCAGCCGTTGTATGTTCCTCGACCTATTTCATGCTAGGTTGTGCTGTTTTTGTCATATTTTAGGTCCTAGTACATGTTGGAAGGTCGGGGACAATGTTCGGGACTTTCGAAGGTCAAAACGAGCCAAAAAGTGGAGTCTGTGCAAGGTTCACGGGCTGGGTGTTAGGATCACACCCTTAGGGAGTGAAAATCACACCAAAGTCGTGAACTGTGCGAATTCCAGCAGCTATTGTGCAT